GGCTTTCAGCCCGGGGGACTTGACCGTTCCCTGGGGGGAGTGAGAGAGAGAGAGAGAGAGAGAGAGAGAGAGACAGAGAGGGTCGCTCCCTCTTCCTTCAGCCTCACGAAAGAAAGAGAGAGGGAGACAGACTGCACTCGCACGCTGTGTAGGGGGTCACACCCCTACAACATAGCGCTGACGAAAGAAAAACGGGAGACAGACCGAAGGGAGGAGCGTGTAGCATGCCGATTGATATCGAAACCCATGCCACCTTCGCCTGTACTTCCTTGTTGCTGCTGTTGTTAACTCAGCCGGCCGAGATCAGGCAGAGTCTCCCAAAGCGCTCGTGCAAGGTTTCAGAGGCAGGCACGTACTGTAGGTCCCAGGCAGTGCTGCGTAGTAAAGGCTTTGGTTTGATTCTGTGAGTTGTGTGGGATGCGGCGAGACACGCTGCAGTTTACAAATAATCACTGTTTGTTTTCTCGCTCTGCAGCCATCCTCTGTGCAAGTGGCACCGAGCCAAACCTACTGGCTGCGCGAGGATGCGCAAGGGGTGGGGTGGCCTGCGGAAGGCTTTGCTTGAGGCCTGTGAGGAGAGGCAGAGAGCTGCCAAAGCCAAGCCTAGGTCCCTGGACCCGACGTTCCAGCTCAAGATCGCAGGGCACTCGGAAGTGTTGTTCGTTTTCGGTTCCCTGCAACGGAGCTTTGGATTTGAAGTGAAGGGCCGTTATAGGGTTAAGGGGATTTCGGACGATGGGATGCAGGTTGTTTCGGAGTCACCTGATTAGTCGAGTTATGATTGTGCCTTTCACTTTGCAGATGGTTTCATTTTGGATCTGCCGCTTGCCATCACAAGTCTTGTCGTGCTACTCAACTCATTGCGTGCGTACCACTTGCAATACTTGCTGATTGTCAAACAGAGAGTAGCAGCAGTAATAGCAACAGCAGTGGCAGCACGCGTCCGTAAGCAAAGTCGTCGTCGCAGCCATCGAACTCGAGGTGATCGCAAACCCTGATGGAAACGTCATGACGTTGATGCGACCGTCTTTGTAGCAAGAAGCTGCAAGAGTCCAAACCCGAGGGTCATCAACCAGGGCGCGCCTCACTATTTTGTTCTCCCCCAAATCGTAGCAGCTCCCGATTCAGAAGTCCAAAAGCACGTAAAATCACCACAGAGAGAAGCACTGCTGCAACTGCCGTTCGCTATTTCCCAATGTCTTTGACTAACAGATTCTCACGCGTTGCCATAAACAAAAGGAGCCGTGACCCCAAATGAGCATCCTGTCAGTTGGGAGCCTCGGATCCATTGCCGGCACTACCTCCGGCGGAAAGCATCAGCGAAGCTGGGCATATCTGCTGGAGGGCCGTGGTTGTAGGGTGGGGTCTTAGGAAGGCCTTCGCGCTTGAACATGGACAGTATGACTGTGAACATGGACAGCTGAACGAGACGACCAATCGTGGACTTAGGGGTAGTCATAGAGATTTTGGAAAAGACGTGAGCAACAAGGCCAATAAGAGCGAACCATGCTGATAGGTCTGCCAATAGTGCTATAGCAGCACGCAAGGCGGAGCATCCAACAATACAGCTGTTTGTGATCGTGAGCATAGCAGTATGCGATGCAAAGCTTGGGTTACTTCTTCGGGCCTGGTTTAGGGCAGTTTAGGGTTCCGGGGTTGTGTTGAAGGGTTCAAAGTTTCCGGTGTCAGGCTTACCCCGACCATTGCACGAGAGAAGGAAGACCAGTAAGATAGGGCATCGTAGTTTCAACGCCTGCATCGGGAAGAGTGGCTCAGGAAACCTTCACATGCAACGATGGATGCCAAATTCCAGAGGCGGTTCGTGTTCGCGCCTGCAGGGCTTGCAAAACTCCGGTTGTTGATTTGCTTGAAACTTCGACAACAGAGGAGTTATCCTGTTTGTTCTTCCATACTTGTACTTGCAATGTGAACTAGGAGCTTCTCGGTCGTAGTCACCCATTGATCCCCGTCAAAGGCCAATCGTCGCAAAACCCTTGCCAAAATCACAAAGGGCTTCGGCCTCACGTCAGCTTTGGCTCCTGTCGGATTGGATCTGCAACCCGCAGGTCTACGTGAACGATTCATTTTGTGGCCGGGCTGCAGAATGCCGGTAAAGCCAAACCCTCGCCAAGGTGGTCCCTTGTGATGTTGCTTGCATCCTCTCCCTGGGTTTGCCTTGCGTGAGATCGCACTCAGGGCTCCCTGTGACTGAGGCGACTGCCCTCAAGAATGCGAAGACGAGGCATTCTGGACCTGTGAGTGGCCTGTCTGTCATGGGCAGGGAATGGTGCGTAGTGCGTCTTAGTGACGAGGTCCTGACTTCTAGATGCTCGTGTATGCAGCGAATGCTCCATACGCTCCTGACCGCCTTTCTGGCATGACGTGAGTTTTGTGTGGTTGAGCCTGAGGGAAAGATGGAGCCATTGCGTTGGTGGTCATACATTATGGATTTAGTCAGATGTTACAGCTGCTACCAACAGCTTCATGTGTGGGTACACATATATCAACACACATTTGCTCGACTTGTAACTGTGAGCATTGCCCAGGCAGTGCATCGTCGATGCCGAGGAGCTCGGGATGGGTCTGGGCGTGGCCACCGTGGCCTTCGCTGTGGGAGTGCCTTGGCATTTAGCTTGCCAGAACCAGAGGGTCCATATATACTACCGTATGGAATTATATGGTTTGGAGGGCCTAGTTCCAGAATAGTAGTATGTATGGACCCTCTTGGAGAGTCTCGCACGAGACGAACGGGAACATGATGACGGTGATGATCCTGATGTGATCATCAATGGTAGTCGTCTTCAAGGCCGTGACGACTGCTTGGCGACCCTGCAAAGCACAAGGAACCGAACCGAGAACTATGGTAAGCAACCGGTAATGAGATGAGAGCCCAAGTTTTCATCCCTAGCAGCTGTGTTTCACTATGACTGTGTGTGACAGGACTGAGCGATCCCCCGCACATTGAGAACCGGTTGACAGCCGAAGGTCCGTAACGAGGTTGAGTATTTTCATGAACTCACGCGCTTACCTGCATTTTAAACTAAGCTTGGCGGTGGCCTTCCACCGGTTGCGGGTGCCGGCGCAGCTGCTGGCGGCGGCGCGGCTGCCGGTGCAGCGGCCGGCGGTGCAGGCGGTGCCGCAGGTGGTGCCGGAGGCAAGCCTAGACTAGAGGTCATGTTGCCACGCGGGCGAATCGTGCCGCAACGGAAGAGAGAGAGACTACAAGGAGCCGCTCCTAGCCCCTAGCAAAGCAAAGAGACTACAAGGCTGAGGGGTTTCGAACTCCCCTCATGCCCCGGGGAAGAAGAGAAAAACAAACTAGACGTGGTACAGCAAACCGCGCGGGTCGGGAGGACTGCTCTTGCCTCACACCCCAAGCAATACAAAGAGAGAGAGAGAGAGAGAGAGCGCGCCTACAACAGGGGCAGCCCTCTGGGTGGGGGCTTGCCCTCAAGCCTTGCGAAAGAAAGAGAGAGAGAGAGAGAGAGAGAGCCGATGCCACTGAGACTTGTAAGCATCGGCGGAGACTTGCCAAAAAGTAGAGGTAAACAATGTTCCAAGTCTAATCTTTCCTCTATATTCTTCTGCATCGAATCCTAACCTGTTAACAAGACAAGACAGACGTGGGCCAGTGGGGGAATAATGTACCTTGAGAGTGTACATACATCCTTGTTCCATTATCGTATTCTATATGGCTTAGCTAATGGATGTCCTACACTCGTTCGTCACTCCCCTAAACCCCGATAAATCCTATCGGGTGGGCTTATAAGCCCCGGGACCTTGACCGGTCCCTACGCCTGGGGAAGAGAGAGAGAGAGAGAGAGAGAGAGACTGAAGCCTACATAACCGAAACCTTCAATGCAGGAGGCAAAATAACCTCAAGCCCTCCTCCAGATCTCGGCCGTGGATAGATTTACTAGGGAAGGTCGACGTAGCCATGTCCGCTAAGTCTTTCACGGTGCTGTCGCTCATGCAGATGACACCCCTGCGTGTGTAGCCAGTTGTGAGATTGCTTGCCATCGTGCATTTGCAGTTAACGGCTGCAGGTGCAGCTGGCGGTGCTAGTGGAGGTGCCTCAGGAGGCGCTGGTGGAGGTGCGGGGGGTGCTGGTGGAGCTGGTGGAGCTGGTGGAACGGCTGGCGGTGGCTCTGGCAGCTCTGGCAGCGCAGGTGCTGCAGGTGCCGCCTCAACAGCTGCAGCTGCCTTCGTCTCCTCCGGAGATCTTACGATTGAAGCTCCACAGCAGGTGATGGAATCGGGAGAGTTCACGTCCGCCGTGCAGAGAGCGATCGCACGCCTGGCGGGCGCAAACATTGGGGCAGCCGCGGTCGAGCTCATAATTGGCTGCCTGGTGGGGCGACGGCTGATTGTCGCGAGAACGATCGATGTCTGTTTTCAGATCCAGTCTGATAACCGTGAAGTTAGCGAGGAGATTTGCAGACGGCTAAGCTACGTCCAACGAGCGGAGGTGCAGCGTGTCATTGCATCTGAGCTCTTGGGCTCCAGCATCAGTCCTGATGAAGTTCGAGTTGTCTATTACCGGGCAAATCGGAATCCACAGGCGCCGACAAACCCAAATGCTGGACCGATTGCGAAGCCCTACCAGCCTGGTGGAGGGGCCGTCAACCTCGGCTGAGTAATCTCGTTTTGGCCTTGCTTCCTGCCTAGTTCCAAAGAGGCCTACGCAGGCGGCAAATGACTGTCCAGGACTGTCCTAAACCCACCCCAGAAAAACCCTGAACCCTGAACCCCATTTAAATTTATTTAAACCCCACACAGATGTTTCACAGAACCGCACGTGTCGAAAGCATCCGTGCAGTTCGCAGACCCAGGGCTCGGTCGCCTGCAACGCGATCCTCGAAAAACTGGTGGGCAGGAGCTCCAAAGAGCAGATGAATGTGGCATCAGGCCTTTCTTCATGTAACCGTCTGCGGGATTGGGGAAGAAGGCTCAAGGATCCAAGAACCCCAGATCTTCCACGTCACTTCTGTCTTTACGAGGCTGTTCGTCTTGGGGGGCTACGTGCGGCTCCACAATTGAATGGACAGCCTGGTGCCCGGTCGGAAGCTGTGGGCGGAAGAGAGGCTTAGTTGGATCCTTTGCACAGTGTTGTGTGTGAGTGAGCACGTCTGCCCACATGTATTTGCGGTTCCGCCGTGCAGAAAGCTGCGAGGGGCCTATTCCGCTCTAGTAGTGTTGGCCAGGTTTCTGGTCGGGTCTCGGTTCTTGAAGTATAATCTTCGGGCAGAGGGCAACATCTGCAGGCGTGGCATCTTGGAGCTGTGGGCGTGGGGCCCAGCTTGTGCAGCATGCACTCAGCAAAGATGGGCTGAAGATAGGGAAGCATGAAATGAATCCTTTGCAATGCCTTCCGCACACCTCATCCGAAACCTGTCAGGCTTTGTGGAATCAGTTCTTGCAAAAGAAAAAGCATACTTTTACTTCTGTCCCTGTGCGAAAGCCGAAGCATCTTGGAACGGCTGTAAGGATCCCTCTTCCCGCCGGTGGAAGGTGCGTTGTCTGCACACTATGGTTCCAACGGTCTTGCATGTGCGCCACTGGCACCAACGTGCCAACGATCGCTCTGAAGGTCCTTTCTTACTCATGGACACTTTCAAGCCCGGCCACAAAACGAGCACATTCCACGCCAAAGGAGAAACCCCCCGTCGCCACGAAGTGTTGCGATGGTAGGGTCTCGCTTTTGGCAACCACATCAAATCGGGCCTCTGCCGCTTTGAAGCAGGTGCGGCTGATATCCACAGGCGAGATCAAGCCAAGGACTCAGTTGCTGGAGGATCTAGGCTTTGGGGCGGGGTTCAGGGTTTCTAGTTCCTTGCTTCTATTAACTAATGCTGCCGCTGCTTGCTAATACTACTGTAGTGCTGGTGCAAGCGCATGATCAAGCTGACTTGTCACGGTAGTGCTCATTGTGTTGGCCACGGCGACAGTCATGCAAACGGTGATGGTAGCATGTCTCATGTTTGCGGACAAAATTGACCACCACCATTGCGAGCATCGTCCTAACAATTGTGTCTTTGATCGTGCTGTGTTTTAAGCTGTGTTTTAAGCGGAGGTCCGTGAAGCCAGAAAACCTGGCCATGGAGGAGGAGCCTGTGGCGAGCAGAGGCTACTGGCAGGGCTCAAGGGTCGTTGGCTTTTGAGTTGGAGGTCTTGGGCTGCTCTTGCACGGGTCCTAGCACCCCACCTGGTCTAGAGTATAAGTGTTTTCACGGACGTGCCCTGCCCAAGGTTTGAAGTCGAGATCAGCATAGCACTGACGGGCAGCTTGTTGGACGGGGTCTAAATCAAAAGGCTTCTGGTGTCGCCAGGACCGAGCAAAAACGGTACCGCACGGGTCCCAGGCTCAGAAAATGCCCACATCGATCAACCTCGGCATGGAAGAAGTTCAAGAGCAGACGATGTCGGCTCTAACCTTCTGGATTCCAGAGCCGAAGGGATGTTCCATGGGAGAGTTTGGCTTGAAGCCCTGGCAAGGAATGTGCTGTCTGCAACATACAGCTAGGACACCGATGGTGGTTCAATAAGTCCACGTCTCCGCAAACCTTTCCGTGTGCGTACGGCTCAGAGCAGGTGATTTTATGAGACATGGGGCCTGCACCAGAAACGGACATAGTTCCTGCACAAGCTTAGGTCCGAGCGCATAATGAGCCAAAACCCCTTTGGAGCAGTGCTATGCTGGGCTGCTAGATAGTGAGAAAGCCAGAAGGTAACCACTGCTGGCGGAGCATGAGTCGGCATGGAGTCTCAGTCGTTGCTGGGGCCATTGCTGGAGCTCGACGAAGGCAACCGGCACGGAGAGGGAATGGAACCGCGAACACCATCGAATCACTTGTTGCAGTGCCAGCAGAAAACTCACTGATGCTCCGTGATGGAAGAACGGCACAACAAGCCCCACCCCACAAAACAGTCTTGAGCTCCTTGGCCTAACGAGAGGCCATGGCCATCGCGCCCCCCTCTCTCTCTCTCTCTCTCTCTCTCTCTCTCCCTCCCATCTTGAGCAGGAGATGCCCCAGGCCGCACAGCGTCGGCGGAGCGAGGTACTGTAGGGCTCGAACTGGGAGTTTCCGAAAATTAGGGGTACCTAATAAGGATCCTACAATTTAGGCTACTATGTTGGGTCTCCTATTTTCGGAAACTCCCAACTAATAGCATCGGCTTGAAGATTTGGGGTTCGCGCACTAGGTAGCGTCACTGTTCAGAGGCGATGAGCTGTGAGTTAACCCGTGCCGTGCTTGCCTTTGTAGCTGGAACGGCGTACCAACACTGGCTGCAAAATTACAATTGTAAAGGCTTCCATATGCTGCCATGATCTGCCACGCTGGAGCTGCATCGTGCAGTACGTACTCCACGGGACGTATAATGTGTTACGGCTGTTGTCCATCCGGGTTTTCAGGCAGCACGGCAGCCTCTGCGGGAGTGCGAAGTTTAGCCGACACTTTGGCGACTTCTCTGCAGCTTCGATAAGGGCTTGCCTCGACATGGCACTGCATCACCCCAATGTGTGTGTGTGTGTGTGAGTCAAAATTGCAGATCTTTCCTTCTCGGTCCTCGCAGAGCTTGAAATTACGCGAGAGCCTGCTAGCGACGGGCTTTTCAAGCTCTGCCATGAGCCCAAGGATGATTGGGACAACAGTGAGGAACGCGCCGAAGTGAAACGGCGCCAGACAAGAACCGGAACGTCACCCGGCGAGAATCTCTCAGGGTTGGAGGTACAAATGTGTAGACTTTTGGGCAACCATGCCAAGGAGCTTAAGGCGAGGCTGAGTTGAGGCTTTATCAGAGTTGAGGAGTTTATCCTGAGAACTGTCGGCAGACAGTTCATTTCGACCGGACTTGACTTCTGGGCGGAATGCCCAAATGTATGCAAGTCGCTGAAAGGCTGGTCACAAGCGCATGACACCTGAATAACTCTGCTCCTGCCTTAGCATCGTGCCCGCATTCGCCGCAGTAGCCAGGCCATTTCAAGCACGCAGCATTAGATACACACCCTAGACAACTTCACGAATTCATACCTACATTCTGTTCTCGTACATACATCTGTTTTTCTGTTTGTGCTGTCGGTCGGTCGGTCTCTCTGTCTGTCTCCGTCTGTCAAACTGTCTGTAGGTTTGTCTCTCTCTCTCTCTCTCTCTCCCTCCCTGTTCCGCGCAGAACCGATCTTTGGCATTGCCCGTTTTGCCCCGCCTGCAGGCTCCTACTTATCACAGTTTTCGTCACGAGAAACACCGCGTGTAGTCATCTCATTCATTGTTGTTACACCGTTACAATCTAGCTCGAATCTAGGTTTCACCTATTTTCACCTCAACCGACTCAGCACCAACAACCTCGCCTAGTGTGGGCACCGAAACTGTAGCAACCATGCGCATAGTGTTCTAACGGTAAGTGTAAAGAGTATTCGCACGCCGTGAGAAACGTTCCCCGGGACGTGTCTCCTGCTGCGGCGCGGAACCATAAGCCCGGTGCTCCTGAATCCCGCCAGACGGTCTTTGGTCTCCTGGTGCTCTCCCGATGGTTGCCTTCGGTCTCTAAGTCATGGTGGTCGTGGTCGTCCTGGTCGTCGCGGTGCTCTACTAGTGTTTGGGAAGCCATGCTGGCATAATACACTCGTGCATGTACATTGCCGTGTACATGTGTGAGTGTGTGCGCACGTATGCATACACACTGAGGTTCTATGATGTTCTATGCCCAAAGAGATGTGTATTTATATACTTATACAGACATGATATGTTCATATTTTCCGTGCATATTTACTTATTGTGCTTATAATTAGATATAGATAGATAGATTTAGACGAATAGACTGTAAAGAACCCACACCTGTGCCCAGACGTCAGGAGATCGTCCGTTGCCACGCAAGGGTTTCGAAGAAGCACATCGAGGAGGCTCACGGGAAGGCCTCTCGGCCGGCCCTCAGACCAAGAACCCAGTCGATTGGCACATATTGACACATTAGACCACGTCACTTCATGATGTCATGAACGCACAGCGTGCTGTAATACAGCCCGGCCTTTCATTGGTACACGTTGAGGCTGCCTTGGAAGTCAGAGTCCTGCACACGACGCGGGTCCTCTGATCGTCAGTTGTCGGACCCTCACCAGAATCGCACAAAATGCTGCGACGGCTCTTTAAACGCCAAGCCTGCAGGCCAAGATTATTGAGGGACCACATAGGGCTCCGCAAACACACACGCACACAACGCTGCAACATCCCACGGGACTGTAGAAGTTTCCAGAACAAACCACTTGCTGACTCGATGCAGCCATCATCGTTCTCCCATTGACTTCCTCCTTCTCCGAGGCCAAACAGAAACTTGCAGAGGCAAAGCTATTGAAACAAACGCCCCCCATAGGCTCCCCAAATCTCAAACCCTTTGTTGAGAGAGAGAGAGAGAGAGAGAGAGAGAGAGAGACACATGCGCAAGCCTTGCCTGCCTGGTGCGAGTTTAGGCCCATTCACGTTGCCATGCAGAGATTTCTGTTCAGAAAATGGGGTTTAGGGTATTGGGTTTGAACCATTCCTGCAGCCGCAGCCGCAGGTGCGGATGGCCTGCGCATGTAGCAGTTTAGAAAGACGGACCCTTGAGAAGCAAGCCCCGCGGCAAAAGGAGCCCCAGCGACGACAGCAATACAAGCCCTGGACAACGACACCTCTGAACCCAGTTATAGGCCGCTGAATCCTGTGGTTTGGGGTTTCTTGTGCCTGAGCTGATAAACCGTACAGATGTTGAAACCATGGGCCCAGGAACCAACTTGGAAAGCAGGGCTCCCGGTCCTCGATTCTGGGCCGCTCCTCGGTGTTGGCCCGCTCCTCCGTGCTGGGCCGTGGTGGCTCGAGCAGCTGGTTCAACCAGCAGGCTGATGGCTTGCGAAAACCTGCACTCCTACTCTGGTGTAGACTTTAGAGATAGATTGAGGGCTCGGGTTCAGAGATGAAACTTGTCGCTGGTTTCGAAGCTAGATCCGAACTTGGCTGCGCAAGAGGATCCCAGGCTCTACAACGAAGAACCACATGCCGAAAGCAAAGGGGTGTCCAGAGCGCGTAGGTGGAGGATAGGCGTCGGGAAAGAGAGCTGAAAAAAGTCACGAACAACTTGGCCTCCGAATTTAATACTAAGGGGGGGAGTCTTGCGGATGCAGGAAGCTGCCAAAATTTAGCGGCCCTGACCTAAATTCAAAATCCAACGCGAGTGCCAGGAGGATGATGCCTGCTCAGGCATCCTAGCCGCGACCTGGCTTGATTCGTGGGAAATCAACTGAAATTCCTTGAGGTCTGCGTTCTGCTAGACTGAGCCATGGGACTGGGCTCTTCCTTGACACTGTAGTCGGAGTGCGGGTTCAGAGAGTTGTGTCTTCAAGGAGCTCACCCTCCGACCACATGCAGTTCCGACAAAATGAGAGTGAGAGCCAAGCCTCATATTTTGGTGGGTTGGCTGGTAGGTGAAAAACAGAAAAGGAAACATGTCTCCAATCGCCACCACAAGAAGATGTCCGGGAAGGAGAGTTGAGAGCACGGGTGGATACAAAATTTAAACACCTCGAAGCCGTGGCGGATATGGTGTGGTTGGTTCCAGAACTCGAAGATGCCCCCAGGACTTTGTGAAGCGAGAGCGTGCGAGGGTTCCAGCGAGCGAGCGCATGGACGATTCAGTGGAGCTGCTCGGCGGGCCATACCATGGTAGATGCAAAGGTGCTGCTTGGAGGCTCAAGTTGGGTTCTGGCATTCTAGGCAGCAGGTTCTGGAGATGCGGGTATAAAGGAATGATGCAGGCGTTGCCTTTGGTTTCAGCAGTCTCAAAGATAGCTCCGAGCCCCAAACTAGAGTCGAACAACCGGCGGTCGTATAGCAAGGTTGATACCTGTACAGGATCTGGAGGCTTAATTCACATTGACATTACGACAGGCTTCATTGCACAGGTCAGCCAAGGGGAGGTCACTCTGAGCCGAGCTGAGTTTGATCATCCCCTGTGACTCATCGAGCCCAGCAGACCAAAATAAGGTTTTCGTGTATAGCGAACCCTGGCGACTTGCATTGATAGCTATTCAATGCTACTCAGAAGTCCAGAAAGCAAGGCTCAGGCCTTCGCGTGGCCTTCGCCCGCTCAGGTGGTTTCATCGGGTGGTGACAAGAAGCCAACTTTTTCCAGGAGCCGCTTTTCGTTTGAGATCGCATTGGTGTGGACTGGCCTGTTATTTTGGGTACTGCCCCCGCTCAGGAACAGCTGGATAGTTTTATTCATAAAACAGATATATTAGGCCTTTAATAGTATGTAGCCCTATTGTAGACTGTTACTGTATGGGGGGCAGTACCCAACTGTTATTCATGCGACATCATCGAC